TAAGATTTAGGGCTACTTTACAAAGTAAATATGTCCCACTGCTTGACCCCTTCAGAACTGTAAGAATCATGACTTACTAACTCATTCCGGAACTTGTCAGAAATTTCAAGAAGGCAAGTATTCTCTTTGGTAGTTAACGTTCCAATATTTTGGTTTTAGGGGCATGACCCCTTGTCAGGACTTTATTCTGTAAAGATATTTATTTGGGCTATGCTGACCCTACTCCAATAATTCCTCACCTTACACAAATTTTTTTTTTGGAATTAAAAAAAGGGAAATTGGAAAGTGTGTAATAAGCAATCCATTGAAAGCTCTCCTTTGTTATAGAGTGAAGTCTGACTCTGATGATGTTTGCCAGCAGTGGCTGTTGTTCCTCATCTTGATGAGAAGGTTCAGGGTGTGAGGTGGGGGGAGTAGGGGGGAAGGTACACATTGGCATTTACATTTACGTGTCTTTCCAGCCTCACTTGAAGTCTGTAAGGCAAGTATTATTATTATAAAACTGTAGAGCAAATTAACACATTTTTGTTGTTGTTGTCTTGTCTCTTAAGTCCTGTCTGACCCTTTGTGACGCAAGGCCTGCCTCTCCCTCACTATCTCCTGGAGCTTGCCCAAGTTCATGTCCAATGAGTTGGGGATGCCATCCAACCATCCCATCTTCTGCTGCCGTCTTCTCTTGTCTTCAGTCTTTCCCAGCATCAGGGAATTAACATGTAGGAGGTACATTATTTGCCCAAGGTTGTAGGTCACAAACCTGGACCAGAACCCAAGTTTTCAGATCCTTCATCTAAAACCCATTCTATCCTGCCATTGTGAGCCCTTCTGTTCTTTTGAGTTGAATATATGAAAGATTTAAGCCATTTAAAAAATTACTTGTATTTCCTTATGTACTATTTATTTCAAAGTCTTCTCAGGAGTCATGCAGTTCTAAATGTGGAGGGTATATATCCTTGCCCTCTTATATCTTATACCTGCCAAATCTTACCCTTTTGAAGTGAAGGACATTTTCATTTTGGATTAATATTAAGACAACATAAAAAAGCATTTTGCTCTCTGAGGTAAGCTTTTCTTCAGTGTTTCAACAAACCATTTATACTTTTATCATTTTTTTTCTTCCTACAAAAAAAAGTCTCCCTTATTTAAATTGTCACAGCTTGGGAGCCCTGCCTGGAATACATAATAACTGCTTGTAACACTTAAAATGAAAACAAATTTACCGAGGATGGTGGAACGACAACAAAGAGCAAGAAAAATATAAGTACATGGAAATAGTCTCTCCTACGCAGATATTTTCAGCCCTAAGTATTTTTACTGAAATTGTTGCTTCCTGTTCTGCCTCCTCTTCATCTGGATTTTTTTTTGGGGGGTGGGGAATGGGAAGGGGCTTTAAAAATCTAAAGATCTGAAGAGAGAGAGGGAGGTGAGTCTTTAGAAGTGTCCTCTGATTTCTTGGGTTTAGAAGGGAGCATTTGGTGAAGTGATACTGAATCTGAGCAGAACACTGATTGACAGTCAGCAGAAGAACGAGTTTCCCAGCCTTGGCACCACTGACATTTGGGGCTGGACACTTGGATTTTTAAGGTGGAGGGCTGTGTTGTGTATTGCAGGATGTTTCATGGGATCTCTGGCCTCTATGCATTCAATGCTAGTAGCACCCCTGCCCCCCTCCAGCTGTGACGACAAAAAAAAAAAAATGCCTCCAGACATTGCCCAGAGTCTCCTGATTAGAGACACAGTTCCTGGGAGTGCATTTCAGGACTCTGGTAGGAGCTTTGGTAAACCTCCCTCCTTCTCCCTCCCATGGGCAGTCTCTCCCTATCTAGACATAAACTGGTCTTATTCCCTGAAAGTAAATTTACCTCCAATGAGGCCTGCCTTCTTAAGTATAAGATTCTGCTTATACTTTTTGCCCAGTGATGCTAAAAGATCCATTTGCTGAACTCTTTTGCCAAAACCAGCTAGAGATGACAAAAACATTTTGAGAGCTTCCCTATTGGTTGGGTGGAACTCATGATGTTTCCTGAAAATTCCATGCTCCTCTCTGGTCTTGCCCTATTATTTACCCTATTACTGCTCTCTTTTTCCACTCAGTATGAAAACTGATTAAACGAGAACCCAACTAGGAAGCTGTAGACCTCACTGACTTTGGGTGAAACAGCCCTCCCAATTCTGGGTTGTTGATTGCTCAACCGTGCTTTGAAATAGTTGGGTTAGGTAACACATCTTCGTGGCCTTTCAGCTCTAGAATATTATCATCTGAACAGTCTTAATTTTTCTTGGCTTTTTGAGTCTGCCAATTCAGATTTTAGAAGTGACTCCAATCCCCTCAGTGATACCAACTTATAAAGCTATTTTTGAAAACTATTTGTTTGGAGTTGTTTACTTGCTTTATTTCATTTCTACCCTTACCCTGCCCACTCCCCACCCCCCAACTTTATTAGCCTATACTGAGAATTTAGACACTCATTTGTTATAATGATTGCATCAAGAAGTTTTGAGTTCAATCACATTTTACAAGACTACACTGTGGACTGAGATTATAGCAGCAGAGTGTGGGAATGAAAACCACTTTTCACATATATTAGGGAGAACAGGTTATTTAAAACCAGCTGCTGGGAAAGCCCATTTAAAAAAAAAAGAATACTTAAAAAATAAATCAAGTAACTACTACTGGATTCATCTGGATATCAGCATTTCAACAATGATGAAAATTTGATTCATGCCTACAAATGCAGGCAACCTTTTGGTGCTGCTCTGATGACACTGCTGGTGTTCACTCTTGGGAAGGCAGGGTGCCCGACTTTCCCCAGACATTCCTGGCACTGCGGGGAAAGGTGGGCTGAGCTGGGAAGGGCCTCCCTGCCTCCCACTTGCTGGCTGTGTGACCTTTGGCAAGTCACATTCTCCTTTCTGGGCTTCTGTTGGTTTCTGAAATGAGGGAGTTGAATTTGATTTCCAAGTTTCCTTAGGGCTCTGAAATCAAAAGAGTTCTATCAGGAACACTGGTTAGGAGCAAGGCTTTGGAACACAACCCATTCAGCAGACTGGAAGGCAGGATCCCAGTGAGACTGGCTCCCCCAGGGTGGCAGACCCTGAACTCTTCCCACCCTCATGAGAGAGGTGGGCAGCAGCTCACTCCCTTTGTTGGGTGTCCAAAGGGCTGCACCCAACAACCGGCTCCCTGCTTGCTGCCCCCTCTCCACCCACCCACCCAGCACAGCGCCTGTTGATAAAAGGTAGCAGTTCTAAGAAAATGGGTGGGAGCCTGCGGAGAGGAATGAATCAACAGGCCCAGAGGGAGAAAGAGGAAGACCCGTGGGGGTGTTGGACGTTCTTCTAATCAAGGGGCAAAGAGGGGCTGTTATCAGTGCCCTGTTAGCTTGCCCTACCCGAGGGGGAGGAGGAGCAGATGGGGTGAACCAGCGGTGACTGAAGTGCCCTTCCTACAAAGATTCAAAATGAAACATGTTGTGGCCCTATTCAGAGGGCAACATTCCAGTGCCTGAAGATTGGCCTAAGCCCAGAGTTCCTAAGCCCAGAGATTCCAAGTTCCTCTTGATCACAAAACCTTGACAGAAGGGCTTGTAGCTACTCGGTTTTCCTAGGAATGTTTGTTAAGGAAATGTCCAAGAGAAATTTGTTCCATCAGTCTTTCTTGAATGGTACACTAGATGCCTTGCAACATTAGCACATGATATATTCACTTATTAAAGAATATTCACTGAATCATTATTATATGCCAGGCACTGAGCTACCTGCTTGAAAGTGAAGTCTCTCAGTCGTGTCCGACTCTTTGCGACCCTGTGAACTATAGCCCACCGGGCTCCTCTGTACATGGAATTCTCCAGGCAAGAATACTGGAGTGGGTTGCCATTTCCTTCTCCAGGGGAATCTTCCCAACCCAGGGATCGAACCCAGGTCTCCCGCATTGCAGGCAGACGCTTTAACCTCTGAGCTACCAGGGAAGCCCGAGCGACCTGCTTGGGGTACATCAGTAAACCAACTGCCTCAGATCTCCGCTCTCGGGGAACATACTGTCTAGCGGGGGAGACAGACAACATGCAGGAAAGACATGTAAGTTAAATAGCATGTTAGAAGGTGATGGAGCCAGGGAACAAAAGGAAACTAAAAGAAAAGATGTCATTTATTTAATCTTCCTCCTGTGCTTTTCCTCTCCCTTGAGTATTGAGAATATCCTCCAATATGTTTCCTCACTGCAATTTTCTATTCTGCAGTAATTTTCACAACCAGCACGACTAGAATATTGAGACTAATTGGCTCAGATGGTAAAGAATCCGCCTGCAGTGCGGAAGACCTGGGTTCGATCCCTGAGCTGGGATGATCCCCTGGAGGAGGGCATGGCAACCCACTCCAGTATTCTTGCCTGGGGATTCCCATGGACAGAGGAGCCTGGTGGGCTACAGTCCATGGGGTTGCAAAGAGTTGGGCATGACTAAGCAACTAAGCAGACATATGACTGGAGTATTACTTGAGACTAACTTCATAATATAGCAGGACAATGCTATGAGTTTATGTTAATGCCTTGTACCTGTTCAGTGACACAGTTTCTAAGATTTCGTTTCAAGACTTCTGTGAGGGAGACAGAGAGGATATTTTCATTCCCGTTATAAAGATAAGGAAACTGAGGTTAAAAGACTTTACAGAGCTTGGCATCTTGACTTTTTCTTGGTAATCTTCTGTAGACTTTTGTTGGAAATATTTTTGTTATTTTCTCTGTAGGAAAAAGTGTTAGAAATGTCAAACAATGGACTTCAAGCACATATTTGGAACAAACCTGGTTATTCATTGGGTATATGGTGATTACTTTAGGTAGATAAATACACGCGCATTTGACGGTCTCCACCGTACTTCCTGATACCAGGGTTATCCCAGAGGTCACAAGATTTCCTTACAGAGCTGGTGAGAGGTGGCAACTTTTTGTTTCTTTTTTCACAGCCTAAAATTGGTGATGTGCAAAATCTGTTTTTCTTCTTCCCTAGGCTCTAGTGATACCAGAGAACATTAGCAAACCCTGATCCAGTCTCTTGTTGCCTGTCTTCTGAGATTTAACATCAGCTGCATCTTCTGGAAATGGGTCACACGATTGGATGTCATCCAGGTAAGACTGCTTCACAGCACAAGTGGGATACATGCACACACACACACATTCAGTTTCCTGTAGTCCCCAGGAAATCTGCCTGTGTACATGTGCATTCAAAGGATATAACTGGACAGGCTATAAAGGTGAACATTTTATTTATGAATTATTTTGCTTTGCTCCCCTCTCCCCACTCATCAACTCCCCCATTCCTTCCCAGGCCATTTTTCTTCCTTCCATAGGAATTTATTGCAAAGTTTTCATTTCCAGATTGAAAGCTCTTTAGGTGCCTATTCATGAATTGCTACATGCTCAGCTTCCATGGTCTGATTTCAGTACTAGTACAACCAGAACATATTAAAAATATTAAAGAAGGTACACTTACTTTTGCTGCTTTTCCAAAAGTATGGTTATGTGATGTGTTCTAACACCATATGACGTTTGTTTTATACCATATCCTCAATAATCTGGAAGGCTACTCTTACAAGTAACGTGAAAAACTGGGGCATTTCTACCTTCATGTCTTCACCACCCTCTTTTCTTTTTTAGAATGTGCATCTAATATGTTTAATTCAATGCAATATGTTTAATTCAATGCAACAGGTTAACATTAGGGATTATGAGTCTTTGGAGGGATTTCTTATAAAGGGAGTCTTGGATTTGGAAACTGACATGATATTTTATTAGTTGTTTGGCTTTGAACTATTTGGTTTATGTTTCTTTAAATTCATTTTTTTTTCCTGTAAAATGAAGGAAAAGTTCCTCTTACAATTTATTATTATTTTTTAAAAGGGTTGGGACAACAAAGTGCCTGGCATTGAGATAGAACATACTCGGGAAAATGTCAGTTTCCATCTTTCTACCCTCACCCCCTTAGTTCAGTAATAAAGCTTTCCTGGGAATGACTTTTTTTATGTGACAGTTTTATTTGTCCATTAGGACTTCATACAACATGAATGGGTTTGCGGTGCATTTTACAGGTGTGGGCTCCCCTTGTGCGGTGTGGTGGGAAATGTATTCTCTTTACCGCTGTGTTGATTACAAGACACACTCATTTAAACTGATGGCTGAAAGTGACAGAACCTTCCTTGAGGCTGATCTCTTTCAGTCTTGAGGTGTGACTGCCCTTTAAAACCCACTGGTTTGAGACTTATGTGATCAGCTCCTCTCACCTAACCTGCAAGTGTGCTGGATAAACAGCGCATTCTCTTCTGGCTTCATCTCTCATAAAGCTGTTCTTCAGTATGGACTGCCGTGCCAGAAATTTCTTTGCCCACCACCACAGAGTGAGTTTCTGGTCAATGACCCCGGTGATAGTTAAGCGGTTCTCTCTTAATCTGGTGACTGGTAAGAGCACTTCCTTACAAGGAGACAGAGCCACAGTTTGGAAAACTAAGGGAAATTTGGGGCAGTATAATGTCCCACCAAGACACAGAGATACCATGTCTTTGCTCTGAATCAGGTGCAAAGGACAGTAGCCGGTATTGCTGGACAAGAGCTTCTCCAGGTGACAAGTACAAATTGCTTTTCTCATTCTTGTAATCTGAGTGGTCAGCACCTGCTCCAGAACGAGGGCTCCAGCATTAGAGAACATTCCAAAACCGCATCTGGTACTCCACACATTGCCTCCTTAATGAAAGTTAGAATGCCTCCGTGAAAGAAAAACAGAGGTGAGGAGAGCTTACAAATAATTAGGAAAAGTAAGATGGGAGTTGGATTCAACATGCTGCACTATCAAAAACAATAATAAGAAACAGCTCCATTAATTTGGTGTGAAGAACTAGATGAATATACTCTTAGGACTGAAATCACAAGCAAAGTGGAAATTGCCCAAAGAAGTAAATAATTCCTTGATAAAGGCTTTTGTAAATAATCATGATTTGTCTCTGCTGGATATTTCATGTTTAAATTGTTACCAAAATAGTTTCCATTTGAGCAACAAGGCATGGGATTGTGTTTTTATGATATAGAAGAAAAAGCTAAGTACTTAATAACATCCCTATAGAATTATTCTTTAAATTCCATTTGCATCAAAAATACATGGAGGAAACCCAGTAAACCAAACAAAAACCAAACAGAAACCAAATCAAAAATAATTGTGAAGACTCATGCACTTGCAGTGGGAATAATGACACTTTCACATTGAAGGTCAGCTTTCCAGGGCTCATGAACAAGTGAAAGAAAATCCCTAAGACAAAAGCTGATCTGGTCTAATAGGGCCCTATGAAGCCATAGACTGTGTATGTTTTCATCGCCTTCATCACACCATCTCTTTTCATCACGTCAAAGGTCTTACTCTACTTCACATACAGTGAGCTGGGCAGAGCGAAGAGCATGAACTTGTTTGGACTGGAGGTGAGAGAACTCCATAAGGTTATCCCAGTGCCCTTGGGCACAGGGGTCTCACCCTTGGCCTCTAAGTCGAATGGAATGTGTCCAGCGGGGCTGGATGGATCCCCTACAGTGGAGAAGCACTGCTGTGGAGAGTCAATATATGCTCACGTTTAAGTCCTTCCTGGATACAAATTGTTGATTTGCATGTGTGATTTCTTTCACATTGAAGGTCAGCTTTCCAGGGCTCATGAACAAGTGAAAGAAAATCCCTAAGACAAAAGCTGATCTGGTCTAATAGGGCCCTATGAAGCCATAGACTGTTTATGTTTTCACCGCCTTCATCACACCATCTCTTTTCATCACCTCAAAGGTCTTACTCTACTTCACATACAGTGAGCTGGGCAGAGTGAAGAGCATAAACTTGTTTGGACTGGAGGTGAGAGAACTCCATAAGGTTATCCCAGTGCCCTTGGGCACAGGGGTCTCACCCTTGGCCTCTAAGTCGAATGGAATGTGTCCAGCGGGGCTGGATGGATCCCCTACAGTGGAGAAGCACTGCTGTGGAGAGTCAATATATGCTCACGTTTAAGTCCTTCCTGGATACAAATTGTTGATTTGCATGTGTGATTGCATGCTTCAAGTGGCAAAAAAGAAAAGAAAAAAGTACATATGCAAAGGTACCCATTTCAGCTTTCTCTCTGACTCCAATTCATTTTTTAAAAAGGAAAAATTATTTATCTGGCTGTGCCAGGTCTTAGTGGTGGCACTCAGGATCTTTAATTGTGGCATGTGAACTCTTGGTTGCACCACGTGGGATCTAGTTCCCCGACTAGGGATTGAACCTTGGTCTCCAGCATTGGGAGCGAGGAGTCTTAGCAACTGGACCACCAGGGAAGTTTTCTCTAGTTCATTCTTGAAACCTGTTCTATCGCTTTTCCTTTGAAAAGCACATCTGCCATGTTCAAAAGGCCCAGAGAGTCAAAGCCAATCTTCCTGGATGTCCAAGTCATCCTCAGTCCCCCACCTCACTTGGCTCAGCTGCTGCCATGGCCAAGCTGAGCCCAGCTCCTTGCCACACCCTGTACTTCCCTCTCTGAGCTGCCTCTTTTTGCACTGGGCCTGGAGAGCCCATCTCTTCTCAAAAGCCTGCAGTCTTTCCAAGACCCACATGGGATGACCCCTCTTCTGGCAGGAAATTCATGGCAGCCCTAGAGATTATTAGAGCTATCTGCTCCTGCTGCTCTTTGCTTGGATTCAGCTTTGGGCACTTCCTGTGCTAAGGCTTGTATTTTCATTACCCGCCAGCCTCCCCCACGAAGTACAGACTCTCCAAGGGCCAGGGCTTGTCTTATTCATCTTTGTTAGAGAATGCCGCAGGCACCAGGGGAGTTTTCTAGCACAGGTGCGGCAAGGTAAAGGCTGGCTGATACGTCTTGTCCTCTCTGTTTAGATTTTGGTGATTCACAGTGTGAAAACTGGAGTTAGTCTTTTAATGCTCAAACTCCTGACCACTCTTGAGTTTTTGCTGAAGTATCTTATCATGTCCTGGTTTTAGCTTCCGAAAAGTGTTTATTCTTTTGCCCCATAAGAATTTAGACCCTGGAAGCTTGGGCAGTATTGTGTCTTTCATTTCAAATCCTGTCTATCAGATTCTACTTTCCTCATTGGCTTTTCCCTGACAGCCAAAACTAATCCTCAGTGTGTTCAGATCCAGTGTTGAGCTGGTAAGAAGGGCCCCCTTTGTGCAGAAGGTCCTGGATCAGTATCTGCCAGAGGATTCCAGATTTGTTACTGCTCAGGTCCAGCCTTTGGTTGGCGCCTAGAGAGGGTGGTTGGCCCTGCCAGCCACGGACCCTGCTGGAAGAACTTGCCAGGGGAAGTGTTTGCTCTTCTTAGGATTTTTACGAATGGATTTTTGTGTAGTTCAGAGTGGATCAGTAATTTTCCACAGTCAGAGTGTCTCTATCAGACGGGTAGTTTCCCTTCGATTGGTAGAATGCCTTCTGATAAGATTCAGGCGTAAATAAATTGTTTACTCATTATGAACCTTCAGGTACCAGCCATAGAAGAGGAGGGGGTGCCCAGGGTGACTCAGAGACCTTGAGAAAGCTGAAGAATCCAGAGAGATAGAATGGAAGCAGGGTTCCAACCAATAAGATACTTAAGCAACACCCAGGGACTTTGGGTTACCACACATAGTAATGTTCTAATTCATAATATGAAGGAATGTGGGCTCATTGAAAACCTGTCAATCTGCTGAGGCTAGGCTGATCTTGTTGGTGTATTTCCTAGCAAAGCAGTACATCTTAAGGATAATAAATATACCCACATACATACTACAGCTCATGGTTTTTGAGCTCTTTCCAGGTGAGATGTTTGTGCTTTATATTAGATATGCCATTCAGTCTTCACAACAACCCTTAGGTTGTAAGTGTAATTACTTCCTCTTTATAAATAGCCAAAATGAGGTCTAAGGAGCTTACATATGTTATGTGCATATCAAAATTTTAGCTGCTTGTTTTTCCAAGTTGTTCTTTTTTCTTTGTTTTCTCAAAGACTGGAAGAAATGAAGCAGATGGACAGTTTTTATTTCCCCTGTTGACCAAGAACAAGGATGTTTAAGAGGTTTGCTGGAGAAAAACATATCAGTTTGGGAGGGTGGTGTGGGAGGGTGAGTGACAAATATT